AACAGTAATAAATATATGGAGTTATTCATGAGCATTCAAGTGCAGTTAGGAAAAACGAAATGCCTATTTTATAAGGTGTGTATTTAATTTAGAATAATCCTCAAGATCCCTTCGTACTATATCCACTTGATTTATAGTTTAAGAACTACACGAAGTATTTATAAATTCAAAACTAGACATAATTAACATTTCAAAAAACAAAATTTTATTTTAAAATTTTGTAAATTATCACTTCAATTTTCCGTAATTTTTGCTAAAAAAATGTAGAATTTTGAATAAATTTGAACATATAATATAGAAAAATTACTTTTTACAATACATATTAAATACAATACGGGTTTTGAAGAAAGTGTACCTAAATCACAGTTTTTTCACACACTTTTCATCATCCTATTTTTTTACAGTTTTAAAATTAAATTTTGTAGCGTTCTATTTATCGAATTCTCACAGATAAGGTGCCTATGGTTGCAGAAAAGTTCCCTCTACTTTTTAAAAGCAAAAAAAAAAATATATATATATATAATTGAAGCATTTTCACGTTCTAGTTATCTTAATGAACTGAAAATATAACTACCTATTCTTATCAATTAACTCATAAATAATTGAAACAGTTACTTAACTTTTTTGTTGAGGTGAATAACTTAGTGCTCTCTTGTTTAAATTCTTAGTTTTAGAATTAGTAAATTCAAAGCAATTAATTAGCATACTTGGTTGGTGACTTGAAAAAGATTTAAGAAATACTTATAATATTCAGGTTACATATTATTATGTAATATGTAACTTACGATTACATATTACAATTTCGGAAAGTTCAATTTATGTAAAAGAAAGAAATAAAACTTATTAATTATCTATGCATGATAAGAAATTGAAGGAAAATGTATGTTTTCTGAAAACGTTCGCATATGTGTTGTAATCTGAAATAAAATCTGTAATTACATAGGTAAGTAAACATTGTATAAAAACAATGGTGAAAAATATATCGATTGTCAAACTTACAGATATAATATGGTAAAATTACTTTTATTGTACAGCAAAAACCATTAATAAGCTACAAAATTTGAAATATAATTTTCTTATTGGATAACTTTGATATTGATTATATCCCCTATGAAATATAATGAATTAATCTTACAGAAAAATACGTGAAAAGTCATAGCAACACAAACATTTTTCAAATCTGTTATAAACATGATTAATCCGGTAAAGAGAACATAAATAATAAATGTCAAGTTTGAATTTAAGGTTGCGAAGTTATCTCAGGATTTAAAATCAATTTGCTTCCCTGGGAATTGAGGGAAGATTGGGAAACTGTGTGCTGATAATGAACAAGTGAAGAAAATAACTATGGATTGGAAAATTAAACTTCGAACGCGTTCAATCTCTTTCTTAATTACGATACCATCTGCTTTTAGTGCTTCTACTTACCTAATCTTCAACTAAGAGCCCTATGAAGGGAAATTTTAAGGAAACATCTAATTTCTTGATTCAAAGATTTTATAAAACTTTACCGCTAAGTAACATAAATTTCCTAAAACACTATCCGAAAGTGGTTGGAAACCTTTGAATGATTCTGTTCAGAAATTCCCCGGGCATTCATTAAAGAGCACTTAAAACCTTTTGTTTTTTTCCCTACGCAAATTGGAAATCCCCAATTCGCTTCTTTGCCGTAAATAATTGCCGTATAACTTGTAAATAACTGATGCGAGAGTTTATAATTAAGTGTAGCCCTGGGTTTATTAATATGAAAAGCACAATATATGAACTCTCAAACTCTCCTCTAAAGACACGATATTTCGTGAAAACCACGTTAAGTTGAAATCTTGGCTGCATCTCCTCCTTTACTCTTATTGATTTGTCTATACTTTGTTAGTATAATCAGCGTTCTTGGAAGATTTCGAAGATTCTGCTGATATTCCGCCCTCTTCCATGGATGATTGGAAATCATCATTGCTGCAGGCATAGATAGGAGAACGCTTTGAGACATTCGACTAAAGCTTAAGAGATAAATCAGTGGCCCCTATTCATTTTATGCGGTTGAACATAAATCATCTTTCAAAAGTTTAAATTACCATTATGTATCTCCATATGATATTCACTGCTTAATAATACCGCTTTGTTTGCTTATAATAAAGATGTTCTGAACTTGTTGTTTAAAAATAAAACTCAGCAACATGTCAATCCAATTAAAGCACGTATTTTAATTCATTGCTCATTGTTACATTATTTCGATAGACAGGTTTTCATGATTTTTGATTTGGATTTTGTACCATTCTGCTTTATGGATGGTTGAAAGAGTACTAATATTCATGTAAAAACATTGCTTCGATAATTTAAAAATTTGATCATGCACTACTGAAATTATTTCTGAATTCCAATAAGCAATTATCAGATAATGAAGCTCTCATAATAAAATAAAACCGATGGCAAAAAAAAAAAAAACTCAATCATAATAGAAAGAAATTTGCTCGACTCATATGTATTTATATATATGGTGTTTGTAATATTTTCTAGGAAGGTATAGAAAACTCTCTCTCTCTCTCTCTCTATACCACACTATACTGTTCGAATTAATTGGGACAAACAGGAACAAACGATTTTTTCTTAAGCTTTGATTTTGATCATTCCATACCTTAAGTGTACTGAAAAATCTCTATATTAGTACAAAGTATGTCTTCTTTTAGCAGAACCGACCTCTTGAACACGTTTTGGCTTTAACTCTGCTAGTGTACCGCACATGTTCTTAATTTTACTATAGAGGAACTACACTTGTATAGCAGATTTTATCATCTGTTTTGTTATCATGCAATTCATCTTAGCTAAACTATTCTTAAGGATACTCCAAAAGGGTTTAGGTCTGGGAATTATGACTAGGATTTACATAGAAACGGCAGGTAGTAAAGGACATATACTTCAAGTAGATACGTAAAAAACATAAGAAAGTAAAGGACACCACGTAAGTAAATATATGATTAATTGTATAATGTACATCAATGAAAGTAATATGGCCAACACATGAAGATCAAAGGAGATATTCAAATTGCCGCTCGCGAGCATTGGTGCAGGCCTCACATCTTCGGCGTATGGAAGTCCTACCTGTTCATCCTACATACCTATCATACCTGACTTTCTAAATGATATTCCCTTGTTCCATTACGTCCCTTGAAATTTCAACATAATAGTGTCTCTGCACACCAGACAACTGGAGTACGAAGATTGCTTTGGACAGCAAATTATCGGGTATGGTATTAGTGTTGAATAGCATCCACGTTCACCGGACCTCACTCTGTTGGATTTGTTGTTTGTTCTCATCACTGTTTACACAAAATGGAACGCATTGATTTCGAGAATTTTTGGGTATACAAGTTACATTTTATGCTATCCGTGAGAACAAAATATAGTTTCCTACTAAATAATTGCTGCTCTAAAACTTTCTAACCAGAAATTTTGCTCTATCGCTCTTCATTTTCCATTTGCAATGCCTATTTTCTAAACTTCGCCACTAGGAACGTTGCTGTCAGTTGCCTTAAATTGGGGTTAGTCGCTTTAAAACACCATGACCTCGCTTTCATAACTGTAACTTTTTTCGTTTGCAAGTATTTTTGGGTTATAAAGGGATTTTTTCCTATGCACCCTGTGTATTACTTTATTATAATTTTTGAATTTATACTAATATATTTAATTATATTATTTTATTATTACATTTATTACTACTTTTTAGAGAAACTGGAAATTTTCCTGAAACAAGAAAGCTAAATTTTACAAACTATGAAAATTATTATTGATGAATCATTAACTCACTGATGTGAATAAAATATTTTTAAACCAACAAATGCATTATCATTGTTTGTTCTGATATATGTATAAAGTAATCGTGAAAATTTTACAGCAGTTGATAAATTAAAAGGAAATATTTGAAGCATTCTCTTTTTTTTTTCGGGATTTATTTATCCAGCAATCTGTAATTACGTCTCCATAAAATTTTGGATTTGGAATGTAAGCTCAAACTTACAATGCTCTTTGCTTAGATCAAAATTTCTCAACATGTTAATAAAAGATAAATTTATTATAAAAGATTAATAATCGGTACTTTTGGATGAAGACTTGAAATACAGACAATAACACACTCGCTTGGTTTTTATCTCATTGTGCTATGGAAAAGTTATTAGAGGATTTCAGTTCTCATTAGATGAAGTTCCTAATTATCGATTAATAGGCTACATAAAATCGTTATTCGATTAGGATGTAATAACTCAATTGTTTTTCCTAAGGTAACATTTTCTTCCTTAATTATATCATATACTTGATTAATGACTCACGCAGAATATTTAGGAAAAGAGGAATTTAAGAGATAAACTTTGTAGCAACGCATAATTCTGGCAAGAGGGAATTTTCCAGAATGAAAAATAGTAGCTATACTTATCAATATTTTTGACTTACATTCATTCCATTTATTATTTGCTTATTATCTTGATCCATAATTACTCAGTATTAAAGTAACTGAATATACTATAAGAAATTGCCATTATTTTTTCATCAGATATTTATATTGATTATTATTTATTACTTTTCTACAAGTGGTTTTGTTTATTCATTTAGTTTTGATTTTATAGTTTGGTTTTATAGTTTTATTTTTGATTTGATAGTATTTTGTCATATGAAATTTTTATTCAATACATCTCTTTATGTTTAATGTATTTATGTTGTAATGAACTGGAGGATATATATATCTAAAATTGCCCTTTTTCAATTCCTACTATTAGATCCACTCCCCCCCTATATATATATATTAAATATCTTGTTCTAATTTTGAATCATTAATAAGATACTTTCTATTTATCCATTCAAGTTAAAAAACATTTTTAAAAAAAAATTGTAGTGGATGACACTTAATGTTAATACAGTTTTTTTCAAATATTAATTAATTAATGAAAAATAATTAGTAACAAAAATAAAGTCGAACACCATATATAAAAAGGAAACATGCTCGCTATGTTCCTGTAGCGCAATGGGTAGCGCGTTGGATTTCTAATCGAAAGGTCGTGAGGTTGAATCCCACAAAGCTGACGTAATTTTTGAGAATGTGATTTCTTTTTACTACACTATTATTGGAATAATTAAATTTCCTTGACGAATAGATAGTAACAAACAAAAATGTTATCGTCCAACACTGCATAAAAAAGGAAAATGGAAAAAAGGAAATCGCTTTTCTATTTTGCCACTAAAAATTGTGATTCTGTTACATGTGTATACATATTTATATTAATTGTAGTTATTTAATAGAGAGTAACTAAAATAAAAATAAAAAATTGTTGACCTAAGTAAGAATTGACTTACAGATTTTTTTTACATTACTTGTTAATAATATATATGAAATAATTTTGCTGGACTTGAGGAATTTTGAACTTGTGTTATGACATTTTGTTGGATGGAATCAATTAGTTTTTTGCTATCTCTGAGGGAAGAGTAAGCTTGGTACTTTAAAATCTGTATTTACTTAGAAACTCTTGCATATTTATTTATTTAAAAAGACACTTCTGAACATATAATGCACAAAATAAGACATTAAAACTCGCGGTTTGTATTACGTTCCCCAAAACAGCCTTTGTTCGCTCCAGAGATCCCGTCTATTTATTGTCATGATCGAACGGAAACTATTAAAATCAGAATGTTTATCGGTAAAGACTTTTCTGATTGGTCGACGTATGCAGATGAGGTCATGATGCATCATTCTGATTTCAAAACGCTAACTTTTTAGTTCTTTGAAAGAGAAAGTTGCGGTTAGTTCCCATTATACGCGAAGTCTTGAAGGGCTCAATACTGTTATGAATGGAAAATCTTCGAGAGAAAATTTAAGTAAATTAATACACATTTAGTAATTATAGTCATAAAAATGTTATTTTATTTGTACAGAAAAATTAATTGAAAGGTTTTTTTTTTTTTATCAAATTGGTTTTGCATACTTATTTTCATATAGCAACGTTCTTTTGGAAGATATTTCGATTAAAAATATTCTTTCTTGTTTTTGCAGTCTGTGTTTGGCTTAGCACCAAACGAAGCCGCTTTGAATTACCGCCATTAAAAATTCAAAGAATATGTTAGAGAAAATCTTCAGAGCTAGTATAGCTACTTAACAATTAATTTGCGTTTGGTCTTAAGTGGTCAAAATAAGGTAAAATTTTGTAACAATTTTTTACATATATACAAAACAAAAAAAGCTTAAAATTCAGAAGCATCTAAATTTAAGATAAAATTCTTCTTGAATTTCTAGTGAAGTTATTTAGTATATTCTCCATACATGTTTACTTACCATAGCAGAAATGTATCAGAAAATTCCAAAAGTAACTGTTTATTCCCCGATGAGAAACGTTTTTTACTTTTTCTTTTTGCTTTTTTTCCCGGTTAAGTACGAGAGAGAGAGGGATTTGGAGTTAATTTTTCCGAAATTTTTTTGCTTTTCCTGTGTGCGTGGATTGTTCTTTTTAGTGAAGAAAGTGAGCTCAAAAATTGCATAGAATTTATATTCTTGTATGTTTTATTTTTCTGGGATGAAATAGCAGTCCATTTTTATGCTTTTTTTCCATTTCGATTCTTTCATTCTCAAGCAAGAGCTTGTTTTTTCTGTTTCCTTTTGTATGTTTACTTTCAGGTTCTTTTTTTAAGTTTTTGAAAGAATTTCTATGTTCTTATTTTGGAAATCATTAAAAGGTGATATTAAATTGGAAACTCAAAGGGGAAGAAACATTTACAGAGTGAAAGTCGTTTTTTGTAGAAGATTTAAAAAAGCTATTGGTATAAGTGTATGAGTGTATGAGGAAAGAGATAGAAACAGAAACAAAGTCAAATTTTTGATCTGATTTTTGATTTTGATTTCTCTGAATAAGTTGAAAAAAGATCGCTCAATAAAAAATAAAGAATATTCTTAGGACAATTCATTTTTTTTAAAAGTAACACAATGCATTCATGTAAAAAAAAAAGAGAAAGTTACTAATTTGAACTCAGAAGGAAGGAATGTACTAAGTATTGGCTTGATCTACATCTATGAGCCATATAAAATTTCTAAAGGGTATTTTAACCCCCTAACTGCCAAGGGAAAAGTTACAAAATTCACCCCCCTCCTCAGTGCTACTGTTTTTCCCAAAGATGCGCGTTGTTACTTGGATTATTGTGGGGGGGGGCGTTTTTTTCTTCTTAAAAATTGATTGCTTGCACTTTTAAAAAGAGTTATAATATTATAAAAAAATGAATTATAACTTATCTGATCTGTGATATATCCTGAAACAGGTTGAACATATAAGCCAGTATCACATTTGGTGCACTCGTACAAAAAACTAAAAAGCTCTTATCACATATGGTAAGCGAAAATTACAGCAAATGAAGAATAAAACACACACACACACACACACACACACACACACACACACACCACACACACACACACACACACACACACACACACACACACACACACACACACACACACACACACACACACACACACACACACACACACAAACCGCTGAGCAATTAACTTTATCGTTTCTGGAATATATCCTTTCAAATTCCTTCCCCACCTCTTCTCCGAAATATGTAAATTCTTTAGAAGTACTGTAAATGTCATTTTATTGTATTCCAAAGCCATGGGACTAGTTTTAAACAGAGCTGCACAATACAAAAAATCTTCCTTTGGAAGGACGCGTATGCGCGACCGGGGCACTAAACGCACCAGCTCAGCAGGACGTGTATACACGCCCACGGAACGTAAGTTTTAAATGTGTTGATAAACATTAAATACAATAGATATGATGACAACAATTGATTGATACAATGATACCGAAAATTAGTTTTAATTTTTTAGATTATTTCCCATCCTCAAAGTAAGAGAACGTTGTTTACTATTACTTTTACAACACTTGCATCAATTTATATGTATGGAATTTTTCAAAAATAAATTCAGCAGGAATATGTATCAATACTTCACACACTAAAAGCAAACAAATAAACATTAGCTCATTTGTACATTATAAAGATTACCTGTGTTATTTCACACCAAAGAAATATAATAGTAATTTGAAAAAGCATTTATTTTCAGCTGTATTTTCTTACCTCTTTTCCCAGACTCTGCATGCATTCCCGCAGGAATCGAATTGTTTCTAATACTTCCTTCTATGTGGCTCTCTGAATCATATTGGTAGATTGGTTTTGCATACTGCTGATACAAAGTTGCCGACCCCTGGTCTAAATCATCGATAAGTTCTATATTTAAAATCACAGGCGTCTATCTAACTACCGGACAAAAAATTCAATGCTTAAATCTAATAATTCCCCACATTCACGTTCTCTTCCTCATTCTTATTTAAGACCTCTTTAAATAGCAATACTTCTTTACATGTATCACAGTTCCTTCACAAGGCGATATTCTCAAATTGAATAATATCATGATGAAACCCCAGAGGTTATTCTAAGTGAAGAAAACACATCAGAGAGAACCCTAAATAAATAACTTGAGAATGGACAGTTATCCTTTATAATTTAGTACACTCCCTTTCCGTCCCCTCTCCCCAACTTTTTAACATTTTATTTGTTGCATTTTTAAGGACGTCTTTATCTCATGTCAAAGATTGGAGTTTTTCTTATAAATACCTTTTTAAACAGAAAAATATTCTAATGTTTAATATAAATTCATGTGTATTTGGAACAGTATGCCTATTTATTACTTAGAATTGCTACATTACTCTATGGAATTATACTCATTTTCTTTTTATACATGAAGTAGAAGACTCATTTAACATTATAGTAATAAAATGGAGTGTGTAATACTCCCATTAATAATTAGAAATGAGAATTATCATAGAAGGTAACAGAAATTGTATTTAAGTGAAGTCAAATACTCAGTATTCCAGTAGTTGTTCAATCAATAAACATTGCAAATTCCTCTTACATTTTGTAACATTAGACGAAACCAGTTTCAATGTGTGCATATTTTTTTTAAAGTTGTATTTTTTAGTAATTGTGCATTTGAAATACAACAAAAATTTAATTTTATTGAATTTATTTTCAGATGCCCTTTTTTGAAAAACATCAACATGTAATGTTAATTCACAATTTAACCTTTAATTGTTCGATTATTTTATCCGCATTACAATAATTCCTTACACATTCATTAATAAAGGAATAAATGAACAAGACAAATACGACAGATAGATAACAATGATTTTGTTCCTTTTTTCCTAAATTGCATGCACAATAACATTAACTGTTCTAACCCCTCAACTGGTTTGCCTGTACGCTGTACGGGCACTGATATTTAGGAATTTAGATTTTCAAAATTTTGTGTGGTTCTATTGTATGCAATACTTGGGTATTCAAACCGACACAGTTACTTATTTATTAATTTTTTGAAATTTTGGATAAAACAAACGACAAAAACACATTCTTGTAGAAGAATGAATTAACTTCGGATACAGATTCAGAACTATTCATTGATTATATGGTTTACACTTTGTATGAATCGTTCAATGATATAAGCGTTTTTAAAAGTTTTTAATTGTTAAATAAGAGGAAGAAATATTAAAGAAAGATTATTTTTTCACATTTTTTACATTGCAGTATGGAACTGAAATATCACCTACTGTTAAAAAGGAAGGGGAAATACACTTCTAGGAATTAAGACTTGATCTCATTGGTTGCATTATTGAAAACAACCATTCAGACAAGATAATATGAAGTTTGTTGCTCGAGATGCAAAGCAAAATTTTCTGCTTGAAATGGTATATATATACGTAAAAGTACAAAAACACGCACACAAATTCCTTAACCATTTTAAAAGCACGGACATGAAAGTAAATTCTCTTAAGAATGTATCGAATCTTTTCACACTATGCAGAAAATACTTACAAAAAACAAACAATAAGGTTTTATTGAGTTCCAAAATTGTAAAATAAAAAAAATGGTGTAAAAACTTTAAACTTTTTAAAATTAAAATAAAATTTTTTTCATATTCTTATTTTATTAAGTATGGCATTTATATGCAATAAAAAATGTGTCTTTTTTAAGCACTTTAAA